ATTTTTCATACAAAAGTTTATGGCATGACCTAATTGAGATGCTAACCACTTCTGCAATTTTTTTGACAGTCAATCGGAAATTTTCACGCACCAGATCTTTGACTTTCTGAACGTGAGAGTCATCAGTAGAAGTCGAAGGCATTCCTGATCGATGATCATCTTCAATGGACTGACGACCACTTTTAAATCGTGAAAACGTCATTCGTAACATAGCGTATGACCCAGAGCATCATCTACGTAAGCTTGTTAAAAAGTTGAAACGTTTCCGTGAAAGTTTTGTCCAGTTTCACGTAACATTTTACGTTGCATCGTTGTTCCAGAAAATCGCACATTTGTAAAATCGTCTCTAATAGTTAAACTTGTTGCATTCAATTAATAATACCACGAAAACTAAAAGAGGTACCAACAATCCAAGAACATGTGGTTATAGAGCAGGTTATACGTAACGCAATGCTGCCAACCGCATATCACTAAATATCCCCATTAGCGCGTTATTCAAAAAGTTCTGTTATTTTTTGAACAAACCTCGTATGTATAATTTTGAATTTAAATTTCGTTTTCAATGTAATTAAATGAAAAAGCCATCGTAGAAGCAGGAAATAATAAAATAGTGCTAAAGCTTGTGCTTTAAAGTTGTATTGTTTCCCTTGTCAATCAACGGTACCGACATGTATGCAAGCAAAGATAAGCGAGTATTAATCACTAGCTCGCGTGAAAATAACTACTCTCAGACGGAGATTATTATTTTAATCCTGGGAAAATAATCGCCAGTATTTTCTTTACGAAGTGAACCGTTATTAAACTGCACTATCGTTCCCTAAATATTTGTCAATGCTGTGTTTTATTCTCTGGAGACGTGCCAGTTTTATCGCAGTGGTACAAATCGTGATCGTACCTGATACCCGACTATAAAACTGTCATTTCTCCCTTTAAGGCAAATAAATCCTTAATTAATTCCTGTTTTATAGCCGGTCTGGGAGGAATTCAGATGTTTTCACTCATAAAATAACGAAGTTATGATAGAAATTCCAAAGAAACAACCGTCGATGTCGATTGATATTGTTTCTAACACAAAATTTGTTGCTGAGAGTAGTTGCGAGATCAGTTCTCGTGGGAAAAATTCTGGGGACCCGTCCGGTTGCATTTGTTTTTTCAGGACGCTCCATACGCATTCCTCGAAAACAACCACAAACGACCTACGGGCCCGCCTTTCCTCTTTGAGCGTTGGCAGTAAAACCGTCATTTATGTAAACCGAATAAAACTTAGCATAATTGTTGCTCGAGACGGCAGCACGTTCTAAACTGGAATTGTGTATGTGTGTAATATAAAATTTATGAAAGGATAAAATTTTTATTCGCGCGTATCAAGTTTTATGTCACTTTTGCGGACGGATTTGTTGTTCCCGTAACTCGTAACGCCGACTGGATTTGATTGGCATTTAAAAATATGACGGGTCGGGAGCACAGAAATATAAAATTAATTTTTTTTCTCCAAAAACTATTGATTGGTCACAGAGACTTATTTAGCAAGTCACCAATCACATGTTAAGTTATAAATCGTTAATGTCTGGTGCTAAGTCATTATTAATAATTTAGTACTAAGTCGTGTTAAATCACAAATGTGTCTAATGCTAAATTTATATTGGTATTTCAGTGCTTAGTCAGTAATCACATATTAATTGCTAAATCACTAATTCTTACTGAATTCTTAGTGTTAAGATTCTAATATCTGTAATGCCAAGTCGCAGGTGATAGTTTGATGCTAAGTCACCAATCACCAAGTTCTGAATCACTATTAACAATTTAGTGCTAAGTCGTGCTAAATCACTAATATGTCTAATGCTAAATTTAGATTGGTATTTCAGTATTCAGTCAGAAATCACATATTAATTGCTAAATCACTAATATCTGGTGCTAAATCACTATTAATAACTTAGTACTAAGTCGTGCTGGATCACTAATATGTCTAATGCTTAATTTATATTGGTATTTCAGTACTCAGTCAATAAGCACATATTAATTGCTAAATCACCAATTCTTTAGTGCTAAATCACTGGTGATATTTTAGTGTTAAGTCAATGATCTCATATCGAGTTGCTAAGTTCATAAATGTTAAGTTATAAGTCTGATTTTTCGACTAGTTAAATCACTTGATTCGCTAATGATTTCTAAATTAATTAAATTCAATTCAATTCAATTATGAGTGCTAAATGAGCGTTCTGAACATTTCTGAATATTGCTATATCATTATCGTAATATTTAGTATCAAATCACTGTTTCATATTAAATTGTGTGTTATGTGTTAGTAGTTATTTATGACTACTAATTTACTATTAGCTTCTGAGTGCTAAATCATTGATGACTTATGAGTATTAAATCATTAGTTAGTCACTACTAATCATATATTAATTGCTAAAACGCTAATGTCGCTAGTGCTAAATCACTATTGGTACTTCTGTGTTATATAATTTATTTAAGTACAAAAACACTAATATTTCTAGTGTTAAATCACTAGTGACGCTTTAGTGTTAAGTCACTAATAACAAGCATCAAGTTATTAAGGCTCATAGAAATTAAGCTATTAATATATGTATTGACTAGCTAAATCATCATATTATGTCATTAATATTTTCAAAATCAATAAAATATAGCTATAGCAGTCAGAGAGTACTAAATGAGAGTTTTGAATTTCTGAATCTTCCTATATTATTATAGTAGTATTTAAAGTCAAATCATAGTTTCTTATTAAATAGTCACTTATATGTTAGTAGTTACTTAGGCTTGCTAAGTTACTAGCAATTTCTGACTGCTAAGTGTTGATTACTTGTGAGTGCTAAGATATCATTGATATTTTAGTACTGCCGCTAATCAGACAGTTGGTAAGGACTCATGAATATTAAGTTATTAGTCTGATTGTTAGCTAAATCACTTGAATCACCAGTGATTTCTAAATTAAGTAAATTTAAGAGATTAATTAGTGAGCACTAAATGAGAGTTTTGAACTTTTCTGAATGTTGCAATATCATTATCGTAATATGTAGTGTCAAATTACTGTTTCACATTAAAGTTATGTGTTAGTAGTTATTTACGACTGCTAATGTACTAATAACTAACTGAGTGCTAAATCGTTAGAGATATTTTAGTGCAGTGATTAGTGAATCATATATTATAATACTATAAATAATTATATTTTTGTGTTTTATTTATAATAATTTAGTTTTGTTTGTTCTGTGTAGTTTATTTATTCAATAATGTTAGGCGCCAATTTATAGTATTATCAAGATTTATTTAACATGTGAAATGTATTTAAAATATTTAAATTTTGAATTTTTTGAAATATTACAATAAATTATGTTCTATACTTACCCCTTATCCCTAGCTCTTTTTATATGTCACTTAATTTGATTTTGAATCTTTAAATGTAAATTTATTCATTATATATATTTTTTTAAATTATTCTCAAATTATAATTTAATTATATTTAAAAATATAATTAATAATTTTTAATGACAACTAGACTACTAGTGTACTATCTGCAAATTATATAATAAAATTTTTATAGAGCATGTTGATATCTCAGTAGTCGGTTCTAAAGCTTTTTGAAATTAATTATGAAGAAAATGTTAATATGTAATTAATTTTGTTTCTTTGCTTTTGTTAAATAGTAATAAAATAGTATTGTTTTAATTGAGTTTGAAATTCGTATATTATAAATAACAGGTTATAAATTTATAAAATCCTTCCTAATTCCCTATCTAACTTGAGCTAAATTATTGCTAATTACTTATTCTATAAACTTATAGTTTCTTGTTACCTATACTACTTTTGTTGACCTTTTGTCTATGTTTTCCTCACTAGTAATGTCCTTCCTGTAATCTCTCTCCTGTCTCTTCTCCTTCCTTTCTTTCACTCGAACTGTCCTTTATTTTGTCTTGTCTTCCTTCTGTTTCCTACTCCACTCCGTTGACTGCTACTGTCTGAATCCCCTCCCTGGCTCGTACTGCTCCTTTCCTTTTCTAAATGTCTACGACAATTCAAAATGATGTTTTACTATCCTGACAGTATTATGATTATATTGAGTCATCTGTCAGTTTAGACTTCACCCTAATTTCCTTTCTTCCAAATAACTTCTTCTTTCCTATTTCCTTTAAATACTCTTCTTCTCCTCAACACTTGTTTTTTTTCTTGGTAGTTCATATGATTTTCTTTTAATCTTCTATATTCTATTTTACTTCTTCTTATTTTAAACTTCTTTTAATTGCTATGATTTGTATATCTTCTAATTCCTCTTCATCAAGAAGTAGATTCTCCTCACTATTTATTTCTGTCTCCTTGATCACCACTTTTTTCTATCATTTTCTTTCACACCGCACTCTTATATCTAATTACAATGTTTATTAATATATCATTTTCAATCTCAACCAGTTAGATTATTTTATATTTTATACATTTTTAATTTACCATTTTTAATACCATTTTATTCTTTTTTTAACTACATTACATTATTTTGTGGACACTTTTTATTCCTTTATACTGAGATTTCATTATAATTTTCATATCATTATACACTGTCATTTTTCATCCCGCTGTTACCCAAATTATCCTTACTATTTTGTCACCATATATCCAATATGTCATTACTTATTGTATTTTAACTTAACTTCTATTAGATTTTATAATTAAAAACTCTTAATTCAATTTCTACCTGTTACAATAAATACATTATTTCTTTTACTTTTGAGTTCATTTTTCTTATTTATCTTGTCTTTGATACAGCAAATTTTTTCAGTTTACTTTAGATTATCTACTGTTCAATAACTTCATTTTTTTTGTTATACTTTTCTCATTTTAACAACAAATGCCACTAAGTACTCATATTTCGAAACACACTGAACAACTGCGAACCTAGTAGTGTGCACTGAAGTGAACTATTATAATGGTGACGAAATAAATAATTGAAACACAAGTAGTTGATATGTTAAATTTATTATTAAAAAATTATAAAAGTATTTTTAAAGTCTCTTTTAGTAATGATGCCCGGAATATCCCCCTTTAGCTCCAGCAGCTGTGACCTCAGCACCAGCGGCAGCTGCATTGGACTTGGCGATGTGTGCAGCTTCAGCCGCCTTACTGGCGGACACTTCAGTCTCTTGGAGATCAGCGCTGGCGTGCTGAAGCTGTCCCAATACGTGAGCGACGCGTTGCTTAGCCTCGGCAACCATGTTCTGCTGAACGGAAGCGGAGTTGGCAGCTTCAACGGCTGCGTGCTGGGCGTGTTGTACTCCCGCTTGAGCTGTGGCTAACGCAGCTGTGATGGTATTGAGTTGGTTCTGGGCTTGCTGGGCCGCTGCTTGAGCGGAATGGGCGGCGTTTTCGGTTTGTTGGTGCAGGGCGAGTTCGCCTTCGAGTTGCTTCTGAGCTTCGCTCAGTTGTTGTTTGAGGTTGCCGACGATGGCATGCTTTCCAACAAGGGCTGCTTGTGCGGTTTGAGCGGCCTGAAATGTTTCAACACCCAGTGTTATTATTAGAACTTGAATAAAGGTAAAAATCGTTATCTTAAATGTATATTTCTTAATATTGCCCTAAAACTATTCAGGGGTTGTTTTTAACAAGTATATTTCTCCCCAATTGGAAATCTCTGAATGAGAAGAAGATGGATACAGCAATTACTAAAGACAAGTTCATACACGGTAATTTGTAAATGAACCAACACGTGGTGTTTTTTTTTCAAGATGGCTCTAAAGTGCTAAAATGGATTTTAATAAAATTTGGTTTGTTAATACTTATAGATGTCATATTTTGACAGAGTAACCGAAATATTTGCACACATGGAACTGGAAAGACTACCCCTAGCGGTATTTGATAATAAAAATGAAACTAAGTTGAGAATTTTGTAAATGCATGATTTTTTATGTAAATTGTTGGAATGTTCACCGTTTTCAATAACCCCTAGTTGAATCACAAAAGAAAAATGAATCATATTCATTCTAAATTTTCCTCTTCCAGCAAATTATCTTCAAATTAATCTAACTTAATGCTCTCCAACTAAGTTTAATCACAGAAGTTCAAATTTGATTGTCACTATTACAGAATAGAAGAAGCTTAAAATTGGTGATTGTTTACAAAAATTCTCGTGGAAGAATATACGGATTAAAGTTTTTGTATTGTAGGAACTTTTATTTCAGTTTTATTATCATATAAATTAAATTTTTGATGGCAATTAAATTAAATTTTGTATAAAAAACACATGGGTAATAAATAATAAAATAAATTGAAATTGTAACGTCATCTGAAAAAATATGAGCATATTTATTTAGGAGTTACTTTGGTTATGTCGAAAGGAAAGTGACTACACACTACACAAGTAGTAGCGCTCTAAATTTAATATAAATCGGTGAAAATGTGTTAGTTATTTGAAAAAAATAAAATAAAAATTTTTGCCAACTTTAATAACGCCATCTATCGAACAAATTAACAAGCACTATATTTTAATGGTTCTTATTTAAGAACCACTTCATATTAACGAAGTTTGAAAGATTTGCTATTTTCTTGTTCAAAACAAATGGTCTTTTCTTAATAAAATTGTCAAATGTTGAGAGTTTATAATTGTACAAAAAAAACTATTATTTGGTATATACAATATGTAGATGACATATTTGCTATTTGGCTATATAATAGGTATTAAAAATATTTTTGTATCATATTAACAATCCAAAAAAATACTTGAGAATTAGGAAGAAAAGTGCTTTACCTTTCTCAAATGCATTATTTAATTAAAAAAAATGAAAATACATAAAACAAGTTCAGAAATCGATATGTGCAAATAAATATGTGAATTTCAGTTCCAATCATCACATTATAATAAACACAATTGCAATTAAAAGTTTACGTGAAAGAACAAATTTAATTCCTTAAAAAAATTAAGAAAATGTTTTATTATGGTAATAATAAGGTAATAATTTAGTTGAAAATGTTGTGGCTAAGTGTTTAAGGATATTAAAAATAGAAATAAATATCAAAGATAAGGGAGAGAAATTATATACCCAATTAAAATATCATATACACAGGGAATGCAAAGAGAATTGATACTATGTCCAATATTAGAATTGTTTATGTTCAAAAATATCTAAATTCAAAAAACTGCATTTACAGAATTCGTCTTTGACATTTCGAGATATTTAAAAAATTTCTAAACGTGGTTGAGGGAAAATAATAAATCAATAATAAAATAAATTTTGATCAGTTACAAATCTTCTCTCAAAAACGATGTAAGTAATAGCATATTAATATTAGATATACCTTATCTCACTGTTATAAACTGTCGATTGACAATTTCAGTCAAAAAGCAGATAGTTTGAATAGTTGATAAGCGTGTTTTTAGAGATATATTTATCTATTTCGCTCTGGGCAAAAGTAAATTCGTTAAAAACAACCTTTGATCTATCATTGGAATGCAAAGGCTTGTTTTACTATTTTTCTCAAGTTTCAGTATAGTAAAATGTCAAAAAATATATTTATCTTTTAGAGTGACCCATTCATTCATTAAAGTTTTTTTGCATAAAAAAACTTACCCCTAAAGCAGCACTGGCGAGACTGCTTTTGATGCCGTACGCAGCGTGACTGCCGGCGGTATGTTGATTCTGGACAGCATTTTTGGCCTGTATGGCGGAACTATGGGCTAAACTAGAAAGTTCTGCGCCATGAGTGTCTTTTCCGTCATCATACCCTCCGTGTCCCCCAAATGCTCCGCCAAAACCGTGGTCAAGGACTACGTTGTAATGCTTTGCAATTCCAGCAGAACTCAGAGCAACTTGAAAAACAGATTAGGTCAGGTTAGACAATTATTATAATTTAAAAGAATACATCTCTATTAAATAGGCATTTAGACAGAAGGAATGAAAATGAAATATAATAATTCTGTCCTAGAATATAATAGAAATATATTAAAAGTGTTTTTCTAAATTATATTATAAATACAGAGTAACACATAAACTTCTCAAAAGTTTGACACACAACAAAAAAATGTTGATGATTAAACATCTTCAAAAACGTATCTCTAATAAAAAGAACATTGAACTAAACTGAAGATGTTACAGACAATAGGTTATCTCAAGTTCATACAATATAATAATTTTACATAGTACATACTTTAATGAATTGATAATTGAATGGAATTCTTTCATAATATAATTAAGAAATGCATATACTTTCATGAAGTTTTCAAACAAAGGAAAGAAATATCCGAGGAGAAAAAAGATTGTTACCGAGTTTCCTTTTATTGAGATAAATACACTTACCAGCACAAGCAACTACGACGAAAAACCTGAACATGGCTACTGAAAAAATTGTTTTTAATAATTTGCTAATTTAATGATTTTGTACTTACTGTTACAGAGGTGATTGTTTGGTGTAAAGGTGGAGGAAGAAAGCAATGATAAATTTTCTAGTTCACGTTGTAATATTTATACCTACCTCATTTCCAATATAGGTGGGGTCAGACAATCAGATCATATTGGTGAGATCACGACCTCTGCATTTTGTGCATGGGGCGTAAAATCTTGGAAATACGGATACGTAACGCGGGCATTTTTTTCTTACATATTATATTATTTATTTCTAGGTATATTATTCAAAAAAATGTTCTTATTTTAAAAGGATATAGAAGAGGCCATTATATCTAAAAGTATTTTTATTCTAATTTGCAGAAGATAATTAAAATGAGCAATAAATCATAGTAAATTAATGTAAAATGTAGGAATATGTGCAATTTCAATGAGATTGTTAGTAGTAGATTAATAGATTAATAGTAATAAAAATAATAAGCTCATCTAATATTAATTATTCTTTTATACTTATACAGGGTGTTTCAGAAAGACCTCCCGTAAATTCAGGGGGTGATAGTACGACAAAAAATAAGAATTTTTTGTCTTATGAACTATATGTCTATCTGCTCTTGTTTTCGAAATACAGAGCGACAAAATAAAATTTTTTAAATAGAATTTTTACGAAAATTTCCAAATGGTGCGAAATATTTTTATGAAATTTGGTATTCCAGGGTTTTTAAGGATGCCAAATACGCTGGTCTAATTATTTTTTGGACGTTTCATATAGGGCGCTAGTTATGCTACATTCTTATTACATTTTAAGTTCTAATTCTTTTGAGGCTAGGTTTTTTTCGGGCTTCAATTTCTAATGTACAATTTTATTTTCTAAAAATACAATATTACGGTGTAGAAAATAAGTGATTTTTTTCAAAGTAGGCTTATGTCAAAACTTATTGATGGATGTCTCATAAACAACGCATACATTCTCAGTAATATTTTAAACTCTAACTTTATATCAAAATTTTAGTGATTGTTAGTGACTGTAGTTAGTAATGACTAATAATTACTTTTCTTTTCCTATCTTTTTATTGTTTGGGACTTTTTATACTTTATTCTATACCTATACCTATTCAAAAAAGAATTACGTTCTTTCCTTATCGGCAACTGTTTTTATTCGTTACAGGAATTTTATGATTTTCCTGTGTCAAGGTAAATTGTTCGTTTTTTATGTGTATATATGTATAATGCTGTATTTTTTCTAACTTTGGTTTGTCTTATGTATGTTAGAATAATTTATGACGTTTCATATCCTGTGACAGGCTTACATGAATAAAGATTTATTATTGTTATTATTATTATATATATATATATATATATATTTTAAGCATGGAAGATCTTTAAGAAAATCTATGTACAACACGAATAAGTTTGCATCTGAGCTAACTCCATAAACAAATACGCGCTGGACACGGTAAAGGAAACACTCCAAAGCACGCTATCTCAATTCGCTGCCCCTATGTCCTATTCCTTCTATCCGAATGCATTATTTTTCCATCTCGCGCAGCTCTGTTTGAATCAGGAACGCAAACTTACTTGTGTCTACCCGTACGAAGTATTATAACATTCCTTATTAAATAAGTACAGTACCTTGGACGCTGCAATAACAGCTAAAATGTCTGCTTCATTCAACACATCCGTATCAAAAAGGAGATTCTTAATTTTATAAGAATAAGAAATCAAATGCAACCAATTCTACTGTTTGCAAAAAAGCTGAAACAATGGTTCTCAAAGATTGTCGTTTGAAAGTGTTTGCTATTAGTAGTACTACAGACAATATAGCTTACTGCCATATCCATTTTGTCTGTGGTAGTACCTATAGAATATATCTGAACCAAATAATTTCATAATTTTATATGACAAACTAAATATGAGTAAACTTTGAGAAGGATGGGTTCCAAAGCTGTTAACTGCTTAGGCAGCAAATTTCTTTAACCATTTGAAATGTTTTGAATCATACTCATAACTTTTTCTCTAAAATAGTGAAAGGTAGTGAGATTTGGGTACGTCATTGGAATCCAAAATTATAACTCATGCAATGGATCCCTAAGGGTTATCCGCCTCCAAAATAAAGGACCACAAACAGGAAACAGGGAGAAATGTATGGCTATTATCTCTCAAAACCAAGAAGGAATTATTATACAATTATTATTACGAACTGCTGTTAACTAAAAATGTTGAAATTAAGGTAGATTATGTTGAAAAATCTTATCTTTTGTTTCGTTGTTGGGGAGAAAACTTATCTAGTACCCTCATATCCAGGGTGTTCCACCTAAGAGGGATTCTTCTGTAACTCTGTAACTGTAAAATTTATTTAAAAAAATGTCTTGATAAAAGTTGTCTGGAATCATGTGGGCCATTTTTAGCTTTACAGGGTGTTCCATTTCGCTTGGACGATACATAACTTTGTTCTTTTAAATGGAACACCCTGTATATTATTGCGTTTTTGAATTCCTTGGCTAATCTTTTGTAGAATTTATTAAAAATACATGGTGTTTAAAACTTACAGATTTCGAGATTATCAGTTGTTTTTGAAAAAATCACGATTTAAGTTTTCTAAATGAGGCTAGATAGAGTCTAAACCGCAAAAGTTAGAAACCTGCAGTTTTCACCGTTCGTTTTTGCATAAATTACTCTATATTGTCATCTGTGAGCAAAACGTGTACGTTAATCAGACTCGGAAATACTGAGACCTACATTTAATAATCTTACGAGTTGAAAAACTGAGCCATATTAATTGGCATGGGTGAATGCAAAATTGAATGCCCTTTCGACTGATATAAGGTTGTCCGTACTTATCTCTAACATTTTTCCAAAAAAATCAGGTTCTGTTCTAAAGTTCGAAAAAGTAGCTATGTAACAGCGTCAAGAAGGCCTTGCAATTATTAGTGCAACGTCGATACATAGAATTTTATAAAAGCACAGCACAGCACATCCTTATCGCATCCAATTATACCAAGAGTTATTAAAGGTGATGATTTTTTTAAACGGGTCATGTTCTCCGATGGGGCTACTATTCATAAAAATGGTTTCGTTAATAGTCATAATTGCCATTATTATGACACAGTAAATCCTCACCAATTCAGCCAACGATGGTCCTTGAACGTGTGGGGAGCAACTTTGGGAACCTATGTCAATGGACCATTCTTTTTTGACCAGCATCTAACTGGAGCAGTTTATTTAAACTTTTTAACAAACAATCTAGAAGATTTGTTAGGCGACATTCCTTTAGCTACACTTCGAAGAATGTGGATGCAACATGATGATGCTCCACCTCCAATACCGCTGCGGTCCGTCAGTTTTTACACGAAACTTTTCCCAACAGATGGATTGGGCGTGGGGGACCAGTGAGTTGGCCTTCAAGGTGTCCAGATATGACAAGTTGCGACTTCTTTTTATGATATGTGGTAGCCCATTACAGTAGCATTTCAAGAAATTACACCAGACGTGCTTACCAATGTTGAACAATATTTTAAAAACCGAATTAGTTTGTGTATTAATCAAAATGCAGGACACTTCGAGGAATTGATATAAATCAGCGATCTAAGTATTCTTCTCCTTGTTGTGTTCCGAGTTACAGTTTGTTTCGTTTTGCGTTTTGTTTCAGTTCTTGTTAGTGATTTACTTTTGTTTGTCAAACTACTTTTTAAACATGCCAGTAAATATTGACACTGTCAGTCCCAGGCCTGATAAAATGTGAGTTTCGGACTTTAGAAAGGAACCTGATTTTTCTGGAAAACTGTTAACGATAAGTATTGACAACCTTATACCAGTCGAAAGGGCATTCAATTTTGCATTTACCCATGACAATTAATATGGGTCATTCCATTTGAAAAAAAAAAATCAACTCGTAAGATTATTAAATGCCAGTAAATATTGATACTGTCAGTCCCAGGTCTGATAAAATGTGAGAGAAAAGTGGTTTTGCAAGACGTTCTTGACACTGTTACATAGATACTATTTCGGATTTTAGAAAAGAACCTGATTTTTCTGGAAAACTGGAAAAAGATAAGTACGGACAACCTTATATCAGTTGAAAGGGCATTAAATTTTGCATTCATGCACGACAATTAATATGGATCATTCCATTTGAAAAAAAAAATATTTATTAAATGTAGGTCTCAGTATTTCCAAGGCTGAATAAGGTACACGTTGTGCTCACAGATGACAAATTAAAGTAATTTATGCCACAATGAACTGTGAAAAATGCAGATTTCTAACTCTTTACGGTTTAGACGTTATCTAGCTCATTTAGAGAGCTGAAATCGTGATTTTTTCAAAAACAATTGATTATTTCGAAAATGGTAAGTTTTAAACACCATGTACATTTAATAAACTCTACCTAATATTAACCAAGGAATTCAAAACGTAACAATATACAGGGTGTTCCACTTAAAATAACAAAGTTATGTAGCGCCTACGCAAAATGAAACACCCTGTAAAGTTAAAAATATTTTTCTTACATGGCCCACATAATTCCAGGCAACTTTTATTAAAACCATTTTTTTTTATAAATTTTACAGTTGCAGAGTTACAGAAGAATCCCTCTTAGGTGGAACACATTTAAAACGTTAGTATATCATATGAGAATAATTTGATCAGCTTATTTGCTGTATCATACTGGGTATTAAACAAATCACGTGTTTTAGTATGTTTCAAGTTTAATTGTATTGTTCAACTCAATGACTCATTAAAGTTACCATAAGATATGAGAACCAGTATAACTTGTATCTATAATATGTGAACATCTTTATATTGGATATAATTTTGTTTGTTAGGGACACTATTTATTCTTAGTAAATTAAATTTATTATAATAATTTTTGTTATGACGAGAGAAGCCAAGCAAAAATTTATGACACTTTTGAAATATGTCTTGTAGTCTTCCTAAACATTATAAAAAATAGTTCAAAATTGTACAGAAGTCATAAACGACAAAACGACTCAGAAATATCTTCTTCAACTCAACTTTCTACTACCGCTTTTTGAACACATGACGGAATTTTCCCATAATTTTACTCTGCATTACAATTTTAAAC